TAAACTGTTGAGACTAAGAAAGACAATGAGGACTTTTGGAGTTGGAGTAAAGGCATTTTTAATTATGACACAGCCATGAGCATATGGGGTCAGAGAATGAAATGTGGGAATCTAAATCCCATAGGTTCACATATTTGAACATTTAGTTCCTGACTGGTGGTACTGTTTGAGGAGGTTATAGAACTTTTAAGAGGAAGAACCTTGCTAGAGGAAGTCCATTACTGGAGGAGGACTTTGAGAATCTATATCTCAAGAGCAACTTCCAGGTTGTTCTTAAATATATGATCTCAGCTTCTTGTTCCTCCATGCCTCATCATCATGATAGACTAATCCAAAATAAGCATTCATGTATAAGTTGTTGGGAGGTACGGTATTTTATCACAGGCACAGAAAAGTTAACACATTAACATTGACTAAAATGTACTTATAGTAACATGTCTTTTGAAAAATGATGGAAAAAAAAACTAGGAATGGCAAATTGCTGTCTGCAAGTAACATACTTGGATCTATAACAATGAACAAAATTTCATGTAGGCTATCACAGAATTAAGAAGTCCATCATGGGTCTCAGAATCATTTCCCTTCACTTAATCATTTTTTATATTATCATAAAGGCTTCATAGTCAGCAATACTAATAATGCCTAACAAAGCATTCCCCTCAGTATTACACCAAATTTACTTATTACCCCTTAGGTTTTAATCTCACAATAAACACTCGCTTCTACTTAGGATTATTTTTAACAGAAATATTTTGTTTCAGAAGTCAAACTGCTATACCAAAATATGTAATTTTTGTTGGTTTCTTTGATGATGAGAAATGCCCTCACTATGTAGTCAAAACTGGCCCTAAGTGTGGCTCAAGCTCCAAGTACTGGAATTACAGGCACATGTCTCAATTCTAACTAAAAAAATTCAAGTTCATAGCTATCAGAGTATGCTACAGACTTGCTTTTACTCACTCATACTCCTCAGGCCATATATCTTGTTTATAAGGTTACAATCTTTGCCAGTAACAATTCACTACTTTATATTTACATGCCATATTTGGCTGCTAATAAGGTTGTTGCTCATTAACAGATTCCCTACTAAACACATCAAGCACGAAAAAAAGACAGAGTATAACACTGCAATGACCAAGATAAGCGTAATCTCTAAACTACTATAAACTTCAGTCACCAGAAAAATACACACACACACACACACACACACGCGCGCGCGCGCGCGCGCGCTCCATTATATAGGGCTCATCTTACTTAAAGGTTAGGCAAGGCTACAGACATACACACACACACACAGACACACACACATACACACACACCTCATATTTTATACATATAGGTGCTCAAGTCTAACAGCCTCTAATGATATGTTGAGAAGCAACCCCTAATCTGCTCAAATATGGAAGCTTATGGTTTCATCCACTGTTATACAGATACAAGATTGGCACTTTGAGTAGGCTGATGTGGGATCACTGCTGTGAATTGCAAGACTGGCAGCTTTACTGAGTTCCCTTTTGAATCTGCACTCTCATTCTTTATAAGCCCATAAACTTTATAACACCCAAGAACAAGGAGATACCAAGTCACATAACAGGGCTCCACCCATATCTGTAGTCTAAAAATCAGTGCATGGATTTTGGCCACAAGTACTTTTAATTATTTACACATTCAAGAATGCAATACATAAAGTTAGCAATCATTGCTCTCACCAAGAAACTGTTAGTTAAAATCACTATGCTAAATAGCTTTACATACACTGCCTCATTGATCACAACATGTGAAATAGCATTATTCTTTTTCTATTTGCAAATGAAGATTCAGAAGTTAGATAGCCTGATTAGAGTTAGAAATGCAGAAAATAAAAATCCCAGGGGCTGAGTTCAAGTTCATTTTGCTATATAATTTCAATTAAAAAATACCAGCCAGAACTGGAAAACCGGCACTCACACACAATGCCTGCACTGTAAGATCCCATGTCCAATATCTAAAGCTATAAAAATTAACAAATAAAAAAAAACAACAAACAAAACAAAAACCCAAAACAAACTCAACATTTTCAGAGGGGAGGCAGAATCATGGAATACATAAAGAAGTAAAAGGGCTGGGCTAGAAATGTAGTTCAGAAGTAGGGTACTTGCTCAAGGTCCTGCTTCAACCACGGGGAGATGGGGGAAAGTTATTTTGAAAATGATAGTATCAACAGGGAATAATCCTTTCCAGGGTATATATTTCTCACAGCATCAATAAAAGCAAGGCAGCAAAACCAGCTTTAGCATCCACAGCACCGACTGCTGTAAGAACCAATCTCATCTCAAAAGAGATCTGATCTGTCCTCAACATCTATCAAATCATCTCCAAGTTCCTGGGATTTCACACCAAATGGGCTTCAAGTAACCAATGTTTCTAAAGGAAATGAGACTTTGTGACACTAGAAGACAGCCAAAAAGTGACTCAGTCCCAATGCTTTCTGGTTTCTACTATCTGTTTATCTTCCCTGTTTTGAAATGGAGGGAAAAAAAAAAATCCCAGGGCAGCAAGTAAATCTCAGGAGCTGCCTGGAGGGGGAAGACAAAGGAAAAAAAAAGTTCATGCCATTTAAACTAAGTTAGTGTGATGGTCAATCACGTGGCAGATAAGCAATCATAGAACAGGGCAGCAAGTTTTAGAATAGTGTCAAAATGATAGGAAATGTATGATTAAAACACACAGAAGGAAGAGACGGGCAAGTTTTCTGAGTAATGCAGAAAAATGAGTAGGCAGACTTTTGAAGTTTCTGGGCCATAGCTCTGTAAGCAACAGCCTGATTTTAACTTGCATCTTTTGCTACAGTAAAAGTTGCAATTATATATAGTGTTCTCTTAGTTTGTGAGCTATTCCATAGAAGTGGGGGTGGTGTTCATCAGGAGCTGGGGATTTGTCTGTTGATGTAAATCGAGGGTATGTGAATCACCATGTTTTCAGTTAGTCTCTACAGGAAAGCCAGTCTTTCAGAGACTTCTAACTAGAAAATTTTCTGGGTAAACTCACTGAACATTCACATGGTGGTTTCTAAATGGGCTATTAAAAGGGGTTGAATTTATCTAAAGCAGAGCAGAAAATGTACCAATCATATATGCTTAGAACATCTTAGTGCTCCACGGGGCAAGAAAAACTAGTATAGCCATGCCAAAATGGCAAAGAAGCCAACGTTATAATGGCTTTCATTGACACAGTTTAATCATTTTAAAAAAAATTAGAAAAACTGAATAGCCTCAAATCCATAAACTCATCTGTTTCTAACAATACCTTAGAAAACAAGCAAACAAAAACTCTGGGACAAGTGAGGTAGGTAAGCAAGTAAAGGCACCTACCACCAAACATGACAACCTGAGATCAATCCCAGTATCACGTGTTGGAGAGAATAGATTTGAGAGATCAAGTTGTCCTCTGACTCTCACAGACATCAGGGTGTGTGTACTATGACCATATATACAAAACAAATACATGTAATTTAAAAATCAAAATAAACAACTTGGTGAACTAGTTTCAGAACTCATTATAAAAACTAGAGAAAGAAAAATTAAGCATTTACTTTTACAAAAAAATGTGCTTCAAGATAACCAGCTGATAACCACAAAACACATCAAGAATACCAACAATAGTGCAGATGAAACAGAGGGATAGTCATTTCACACCGAAATAACAGATCTACACATCAACAGATCTTACAACATGGTTCAATCCCTGGAACCATGTAAAGGTAGGAGAGAACCAACTCCGAAGTTGTCCTTTGACTTCTACATGTAATGTAAATGCAATAACATATAAATTAATTAAAACAATCAGGAAAATGTTGACAGATACTTCTGATGGCTAAAGAAGGCTGAGAAATATGACTACAGAGATTACTTGGCACACACTCTAAGCATAACATGCTAATATAAATATTTCATATGATTTAACTGGATAAAGTTATCGATAGTTTCTGGCTTACTCCACAAAATAAAGATTCCACACCTATGAGTAATACTGTAAATGCAGAAAAGAAAATAGGTGTGTAAGAAAACAATCAACTGGATATAGAATGATAACCATTCCCTAGGACATCAACTTACTTTCTTCAATAAGCTATTTCCTCAGAAAAAGGAAGCTTATAATAGGTTAAAATAAACTAAAAAATAATGCATGTATAGACCTGTTGGGAGGGGGGATGAAATAACCAAAGCAACTAATAAACGCCAAATTTTAGATAAATACAGAAATTTAATCCTGAGCTAGGATTTTTAAATTAAATTAAATTTAAAATTTTCAAGCTGGAAGTTTGACACTATGGAATGCATGCCCGGTGTGTATGCATAGTTTGATTTCCAGCACAAACCTCCATTATCCAAAAAATATTTAAAATTTTGTTAGACTGGAGACTAGCGAGGGGTTGCTCAGGGTTCTACTGATGCTCTTCCAGGAGACCTGAGCTCAGTTCCCAGCACCACATTGGGTAGTGGCCTCTAACTCAAGTTCACAAGGAATCATCTGCCTCTGACCTCCACAGTCACCAGCATGCCTTCCCGACACACATATAATTAATATTATTTAAAAACCCACTTTTGTTTGGTTGATAATGGCTGGCATTGTAGTTAGGACAAAATAAGCTCCAAAAAACTAATGTGTAAGATGATATTTGATTTAAACTATTAGTCTAATGAAAACAATTGATTAAAAAAAGAAAACAAGAAAGGTTAGCAAAAAATTAATGTTGAATGGTACACCAACAAGGGAGAAGGATACAGAAGGCTCACGAAATACTCTAACATTATATATTTTAAAATTTCCACAAAAAAACATAAAAAAGCAAACTATTTTTAGTAATTTTCAACATCCAAAATGAAGATATCAATTTAATATGAATAATTATAACCTTTCTAGAAGGGAATTGGTATCTGTGAGGGTAAACAAAGATGCTATAAATTCAGATCTTACTTAATTCAGTAATATTACTAGAAAACCCACCCTTTTCCCTTTAAAACTGCATCAATAGAATTAACAGGTTTAGCAAACACAAAACCAAGAAAAACCTACAAAGCCAAGAAGCCTACAAAGCCAAATATTGAATTTCTACTGCCCTATCCTTTGAATATATCATGAGCACAGATACCCATGCAGAACAATAAACATCCATATTAAAAAAAAATCGTGGACAGGCAAGTGGGTACTTGCCTTTAATCTCAGCAAATTCTCTTAAAATTCAAGGTCAATCTGGTCTACTTAGGGAGTCCAAAACATCTAGGCATACACACACTCTGTCCCAATCTCTCTCTGCAAAATGAAACAATTTGTTTAAGTATATAAAAGATACTTTACTATGATAATTAATAAACCTGTGGTCATTCATTTCCTAGTGGAGATACTGTAAGAAAACATGGGACAGTGTTTAGTAAGGCTAATAATGCTTTAACAGAACAATACACATCACACAAGCACAGACAGGTGTGATGGCCCATGCCTATAATCTCAGCACTGGGTAGACTGAACCAGGAGGAGTATTCTAAATTCCAGGCCAGACTTAGGCACAATCTTGGTCTCCTGCCATCTCCCAAAAAAATAACGTAATCACAGATGGGCAGTGAAAATGTTGAAGGGACTGTTTAGAGAGAAAACAATGCAAAAATGACAAGTATCTCTAAGTACTGGATTAGCAACAGCTTCTATTGGAACATATTTCTTCTTGTTATATTTACATTTTTTGTTGTTTATTTTGAGACAGGGTCTGACCTTGAACTTGTGATCTCACCCTGCCTCAGTCTGAGGAAGGTTAGATTTACAGAAGTGTCACTATGCCTGTTACCTCCCTGGTTACAATTTGTCCCAGAAATGCACAAGAACAACTGACTTAGGCTAAGGTTAACATATCCCTCTTCTGTCATTTCAGGCTGGACGATGAGTAAAGTATTTTGATTTCCAGCCCTCTTCTCAAATTAAAATAATATATTCCTTGTAGTGCCAAATAAAAAGAAAAAAGGAAGGCAGAAGTGTAGGGGAAACAAGGTGGGAACTGAAGGAAGCTACTGAGACAGTGTGGTTATCTAGGCCCAGTCGTTTATAGCCAGGTTTTTGTGACTCGTTTCTGGAAAAAATATTTGCAACATAAAAGCAAAGTTTACAAACACTTCCAGGTTCCTACCTACAAAAAATGGTATCGGTGAGGAAGGGCAATAGTGCAAGCACAAGCAAGTGCATGAAAACTCACAATGAGTAAGCAAAATTGGCCCAAAAGCATGGTAACTAAAGACTCACGCTCCTAGCCAATCACAATACACTAAAAGTGATCGCCTTTTCAAAAGGACCAACCAGAAACGTTCCCGGAGCAGTTTAATTTCCCAAAGCCCATAAAAACTCCTGACCTTTTTACAATGAAGAGCTTCTGCAAGGGAATCTCTGAGTCTGCGTCTTAGTCTCCTGGTCTTCTCACCTTCTGTCTACCCACCCCCCAGCAAAGATCGCACAACAGACAGCAGCAACAAGCATGCAAAAACTACATATAGGTAGAAGTTTTCATCGATAAATTGGCTTGTCTATTTACTTGTTTTAAATAGAGCTAAAAGAATGATTTCTCAAAAGCAAACCCATCTCCTAAAAGCCCACTGGGAAGAACTGGGTCTACATGAGCTGGCAGAGTGTCTGTACGTTAGGTACATATATTAAATATGCACACTACATAATACCCTGCTATTCATAATAAAAACAATTTTTTCCCACACTTGACTTGTTGTGGGACAATGGTCTTTTATGGTGTCACTTGTATTATTTTTAATAAAACGCTGATTGGCCAGTAGTCAGGTAGGAAGTATAGGTGGGGTGACCAGGCAGGAAGTAGAGGCAGGGCAACGAGAATTGTGGGAAGAGGTAAGTTTCAGTCTGCAGTCGAGACCCAGTCATAGACGAAGCAAGAAATCAAGATGTGACTGCCTCGCCGAAAAAGATACCAAACCACGTAACACAGACAAGAATTTTGAGCTAATATAAGCTATAAGAGCTAATAAGAAGTCTGAGATACTGGGCTAATCAGTTTATAATTAATGTAGGCCTCTGTGTGATTTATGTGGGACTAAGTGGCTGTGGGACCTGGTGGGACAGAAACCTCTGCCAACACTTACTGGTCATCATTACTCATGCTAATGTACAGAACACACTAAAAGCCAGGTGTGGTGATACTATCTTTAATCATAGCACAGGCAGGTAGATGAGTTTGAGGATAGCTTTGAGGTCTACATAGTAAGACAGCAATTTCAAGCTAGCTAGGACTACACAAGAAAACCCCATTTCAAAATAAACATCTTTTAATTCTTCAAGATGGATCTTACAAGTTTTCTTTCCTGTAAGATCTCAAGGAAAATCAACATGTTCTTAAGTCATGTATCAGCTCTTAACAAACCATTTGTAGCCAATCCATGAACATAAGCAGAAATACAAATAATATCTAGTAATGCCTAATATAAAAGTGCTGTCACCACCTTGTATCCATGACAGCATATAAACAATACACTTTACTAAAAATATGTAAAATGGTAGTCATTGAAATAAAAATACCAGTTTCCTATGCAAGTACATATGTACAGAAACATAAAAATCAAACTTCTACTGTGCATCAACACCCAGTCAACCAACATAAGTGTTATTCAAGATTCTCTTAATCTCAAGTAATACCCAGTCTTCTAGATTAAAAAACAAAATCAGAAAGAAAATAAAAAATATTATTTTGACTGGTTGGTATCTACCTACTCAAGAGTCAACAAGGAAAAGTACATGTATTCTCAAGTCATCCATAGGGAAGTAGATAGACAAGACTATCTGACTGAAGGAGTTTACCAACGTTGGTTTAAAAAGAAATATGGGAGGTCAGTTCTACAGCAGTAATACTCTGAGGGGACTGTTGTATTAGTAATCAAGATTACTCAGTTTCTGCCACAGACACTCTCTTCCATCATAGAACCTCTTCCTAAAGCCATTTCTACAGATCCCTTCTCTCTGCCTTGGTGCTCATACCACTAACTCTTTTAAAAATATCTCTGGGCTGTGTATGTAGTATAGTGGTAGGTAGTTTATCTAGCATGTTGAAGGTCTTGAGTTCACACTCCAGCACCAAAAAGACAAGCTGTCTCTATCTCAACCTGAAGCCTGGATGCTAATTCTTTAGGAGACACAGCTTTAGAGCACCACAGTTGTATCTGGAAATAGAAAGGTTTTACTTCATTCTCTCCACCCCACAGTTTAGACTAGACACAGTATGGCAAATATAAAATTCTGTGCAAGCAAGATAAAAGTTTGACATCTTAATTCACATACATTTAGTAGGCAGGAAATGAAGCTTATTAGTGGAATACTTGCTTAGCGTGCACAAGGCCCTTGGGCAAGGTTCAATTCTTAACATCCTCATAAAAATTTACTTATTGTGTTTAATATTGTCATAGTAAAACTTTACAAATTTGGGTAGTCTAACTCAAAGTTACATAAAAAAAAAAATCACTGAAATGGTTCTCCAGCTCGTTCCTAAAGTAAATAGTGTAACATGAAGGTCTGGCTTGTTGGAGTTTCTGTCCTGCCCACAGCTGGCAAGCCCCAAAGAAAATCACACAGGACTTTATAAGATTATAAACTGATTGGCCCATTAGCTCAGTATTCTTATTAGCTCTTGCAGCTTATATTAACCCATTGTTCTTATCTATGCTAGCCACATGGCTCAGTACCTTTCACAGCTGGGCAGGTTATATCTTGCTTTTTGGAGGTCTGGGCAGGAATGGAGGAATGGGCTTCCTCCTTCCCAGCATTATCCTGTTCTACTTCCTGTCTGGTTTACCCACCTATACTTCCTGACTGGCCAATCATCATTTATTTAAAACATGATTGACAGAATACAGACAATTACCCCGCACCAAAATAGCTTTATTATAAGGGTCTGGGGAGGAAGAAACAAACTTATCAATACACTGTTATGGAATAATCTTTTTGTACACTGTCAAGATTTGAAAAAGGGGGAAAGTGTCCTATACTACACTGTGTGAATATATGCTGCTGTGATTGATTTAATAAGGAAGCTGACTGGCCAATAGCTGAACAGGATAAAGCTAGGAAGGAAAAACAAGCTGAAAATGATGGGGGAAAAGATGGAGTCAAGAGTCACGAGCAGACAGAGAAGAGTGAGATGGGCATGTTGTACTGAGAAAAAGTACCAACCCACATGGCAAGACATAGATAATATGGATTAATTTAAAATGCAAGCATTAGCTAGTAACAAGCCTGAGCTATTGGCCAAGCATTTATAATTCATATTAACTCTGTGTCAGATATTTGGGAGTGGCTTGCGGAACAGAAATTTACACCTACAAAACACATCTGTTAAATTTCTATTTTTTAAAAAAATTAAATTTCTAACTCTCAATATATAAATGGGGGTGCTAATAATGTCTACTTCACATAGATATTAGAGACAAAAGTCAAGTTTTAGTAAAAAGATATTTTGTACAATACCAACCTCACAGTAACTGTTCCAAAAATGTTATCTAGAGATAAAAGTTGACTATTCTAACATAAAAAACTCACCCCAAAGCACCTGTTGACTCCACTCTTACTAGAAGTCTTACAATAGACAAAGTAGAGTTAAAAAAAAATAACTGAGAGGCAAGGGATGTGCCTCACTGTTAGAGTCCTTGCTTAACAGGCACAAGTCACAAGGTTCAACGTCTAGCACTACAAAAATGAGAGTATATCCAGGTAGCTAATTTTTAAAAACTTCTTTATTAGCCAATGTATTAAAAGACATGTAAACTTTTTTAAAAGTTTTAAAAGTAGATAGGCAATCTACTTGGTTGCCTATCATGTGATTAATTACTTCTTCCCTGAGCCCATAACTAAAAGTCATTAAGTCTCTATCTCCAGTCTTCCATTCTATTCTTGTCTAGTCTTCACTTACTAATATAGCTGAACCTGACAATACAACAGCAGGAAAGAACCAACAGAACATTCTTGGGTCCTATTTTAGCCATACGTCTCAAAACCAAAACCAGCTTCATTAAATCTACTCAGACGCAGAAGCACATATATTTAGATGGACATTCCACCAGTACCACCATGGCTCCCTACACGGCATTTAATCTGATAAGAGAGGAATAA